GGGGCGGGAGCCGCGGGCGGGGTCCCGGCCCACGTCCCCCTCGGACGCCGCTCCTTCCTCATCTCCGGTCTCTAGGCCGCGTCTCCCAGGGTCACTGTCTGAGGGGACCCTGCAGACCCCGGGGATGTTTGGTGCACAGGTCTCACAGGGGCCTCGAGTTTGCTCTTAGCTCCAAGCGGGACGCCGGAGCGCGGAGGAGGTCGGTCACCCGGCTGCCCGGGGGTGGGAGGCCGGTTTGCAGACGCCGTATCCTCGAGCATTGCCGCGGTGGACGAGGGAACCCGGGAGAGCCGGGGCACGCACGCGCGCGCCCTGTCTCCTTCTCTCTCTTTCTTTTCTTTCTCCCTCTCTACCTCCCCCTGTCCTCCATCATTCCTCTCTTTCCTGTAGCAGCTCTATCAAGCGCCACTTAGGGTCGGGCCCTGCTAGGAGCTGGAGTGATGTGATGTTGGGCAGAAATAGAAGAAAAGGCATTTGTGTTATATTTGGAAGGATTAGGAGAATTTCCTCTGGTAGAGAGCAGTGGGGTGACATTGAATGTGGAGGGAACAACAGAAGCAAAACAACTATGGCTGGAAACATTAGGAAACTTTTTTTCTTTTTTTGGACTGTGGTTGTATTTTCTTTGCTTCCTAGTGGCTTCCTAGGAGCTACATTGGTGTCAGATTGTAAAGGGACTTGGCCTCCACGCTAGGGATTTTGATCAACAAAGGATTTTGAACAGAAAAGTGTAATGTCTTATTTAAAAAATCATATAAATGTTTCTAGGAGATAACTCAGGCTGCAGAAGAGGAGTGAGAAGAAAGGTGGTTATCTCTCTGATACCCGGTGTTCTGGGACCTATGTTAGTGGAAGTGAGAGCCCAGAACAGAGGTGGTCTTCTGGAATCCATGCACTGGACCCACACACCTGAACAGTGCATTCATTTCTGGGCACTGCACTCTAATGGGGATATAGAATAGCTTCAGTAGGTCCAGAAAAGAAGGAGTAAAATGAGAGGGATATATATCTTGTTAGTTGATGAATAATTAAAGGAATTGGAAATGTGCTGTTAAGATTAGTCATTTCACGTGATTCTAGAGAGCAGCATAATGAGACCAAGGATGGGAAACGATAGAGAAGACTACCATAATTATAAAGAAGCACTTTTAAAAGATTTGGAAGTTGGGAAATAGTTGATTGCTTGATGCAGACATTACTGTGTACCTGCTTTGTGCCAGTCTGTGGTATATTCAGGTTGTGGACACAGATGGGAAACAATTTGTACATGGATTAGAGGTAGCATAGAAGAGAGAGAGTTTAATTTCTGGAGTGCAGGGTATCAATTTGGTTATCTCCCCCCCACCCCAACACATACCCACACTGTTACCTTATCTGCTCCTCTTCTCCATTCCACTTGGCCTCAGCTGCACTGGCCTTCCTGCTGATCCTTGAAGTGTCCTTGCCTTGGTGCACTTATGTTCCCATTGCCTGAAAGACCCTCTTCTGGATGTCCACTTGGCCAATTCCTCACCACCTTCAAGTTTCAAATGTCACTCTTTGGCAAGGGCTCCATGACCACCCATTTTAATATTACACCCCATCCTGTATGCTGTGCCATGCTCCCCTTCTCTGCTTTCTCTCCACAGCAGTTACTTAATCTATATAATTTACTTATTCGTTTTGTTAGCCCATGAGATTTTTGTCCTTTGGCTTGCTGTTGTATCCAATTGTCTAAAAAAAGTGCTTGGCATGTAGTAGGCCCTTGTAAATACTTGTTGCATGAATGAGTGATACATAATAGCTACTGAGTAAATTAAGTATTCAGAAACTGCTAGGAGTTTGAAATTGTTGGAATATGTGAGAATATACTGCTATTTACTAACGCAGTCTCCTGCAGATGGAACTTTGGACGGTTCCAGTTGTTTGCTATTGCAGACATTACTTCTATGAGCATTTTGTTATCTATGCTCCCATTTTTTTCTTGCTATGAATATGTGTGTATGTATTATTTACAAAATGGGATCATATAGTGAATTCTCTCTTTCTCTTTTAATTAGTTAAAAGCTGTGCTCTATTCAGATATCCTCAGTTTTTTCCCCAATGTCCTTTTTCTGTTCTAGGATCCCATCTGGTATACCACATGATATTTAGTTGTCATGTCTCTTGGCTGTGTAGGTTTCTCTGACTTTCCTTGTTTTCAGTGACCTTGACAGTTTTGAGCAGTGCTGGGCAGGTATTTTGTCTCTCAATTGGACTTGCTGATGTTTTTCTCATGGTTAGAATTGCAGGCGAGAATTCTGCCGCTGAACCACCCATGCTTGTGATTAGACTTGGGTATGTGTTCTTGGGAGGAAGATTTCAGAGGTAAAGTACCATTTGCGTGGCATCGTATCATGGGTGCATATCATGAACATGACTTACCACTGTTGAAGTTGACCTCGATTACCTGGCTAAGGTGATGAGATCATTTCTCCACTGTTGTTACTCTTTTTTCTCTCTCTTTCCATACTCTTAGGAAGGAGGCTGTGACGTGCAGCCCACAAAGGAGTAGAGTGGTGTGCTTCCTTCCTCGAAGCCAGAATGTTAACATGGATTACTAGGAAATCCTCTGCATCGGAGATATGTCTGTTGTTCCACATTTGTTCACTTACATGTTCAGTAATTCATTTATATCATTGTGGACTCATGATATTATTTTATGCTTTGGATTATAACATCATATTACTTTTGATATTTATTTTATGCTTTGGATTATAACATCATGCTACTTTTTTGTTGTTTCTCAAATTGTTCTATCTGTGGCCATTGTGAGTACCTTTGGTTGGCTTCTGTATCCTGTGAAATACCCTTCAGTTTGTGTGTGTGTGTCATTGCTTCTAGGCCCTTTCTCAAATTGTTCTATCTGTGGCCATTGTGAGTACCTTTGGTTGGCTTCTGTATCCTGTGACATACCCTTCAGTTTGTGTGTGTGTGTCATTGCTTCTAGGCCCTCCTAGATAATCTGGCAAGGAGACATACTAACCTGTGTATTTACACATATCTAGATATTTCTGTGTGTAACCATCTGTATCTATATTAATCAGATTCCTGATGCTGTGAGCCCAGTGTCTTTGAGTGTTAGTCACCACCAGCCGCTTATGAGGGTGCTTGTTGTCTTGTCCTAACACTGCACATCATTTCAAAAACATTAATTCCCAGTTTGATACATGAAAAAGTATTTTCTCCTTGTAAATAGCCTTTTTTTTTTTTTTTTGTAGCACTTTAACATTTTTTCATGTGGCTGTTGCCTGTATTTAATCCTTATAAAATAAGCTGGGCATTCCTGTCCTTAGTTTTTCTTATTGATCATGTATGTTGTACTTTTTTAGTTGTCTGCCTTTTTACTGTGTTTTTTCTTTCTTTCTTTTTTTTCCATTGGAAAGATCGTTTTGGCTATAGTGTGGAGAATAGATTGGGGATGCAGGAGATGAGGCAGGTCTTTGCCTTGTAGATGAGAAATGTGAGGATGTGTACAGAATCAGTGCAGCAGACTAGGAAGGGGATGCTATGTCTAGGGAGATTGAAGAGTTAGGATTTTGTGGGTGATTGTGGAGTTGGAGAAAGGAAGAAATTACAAATGATGCTCATGTTTGCTTTTGTTGTTTGTTGAGTAGTGGATAGTCCCACAGATATTTCCTATTATGAGGGAAAGCAAATTTCGGAGTTAGGATATGGATATAACATTTTAGTTTTAGGTCTGTTAGTTTTCAGGTCCCTTCTGGACATGTGGATGGAACTGTTGAACAAGCAGTGGGATAACTAGGTCAGGAGCCCAGGACAGAGGCTGGACTAGAGAAGCGTTTTTTATTCTCTTCCTCCCTATCTCCCCCTAGTCTCCCTCTCTTCCTTCCTCCCTTTCATTCATCTGTTCTTCTATCCATCCTATTTTTATTGAACATAGTAAGCATATTCTGTTTAGGCACCATTCCAGGCACTGAAGATGTAGCGGTGAACAAACAGACTATACACCTGCTCTTATGGTACTTTCATGGGGGAGGGGAGAGGACAGATAACTAAATAAATAGGTAATGAAGATATAGATGTTGGCATTTTTATCACCGAGGGGTTTCTTGGTATTGTTACCTAATAGTTACTAATGCCTGCAGTAACCAGAATGGTCACGTTGTGCTGTTGTTTGGTGTTGTGTTTTTCAGGAAGGAATTCATACCAGTGTGCAGTGCAAGTTGCGGTATGGACCTTTGGCATTCGTGCTTGGTGAAAAAACAACCAAAAAACTGACACAGTACAGCAAAGTGATAACTGTAGATGGCAATATATGTTCTGGAAAAGGCAAGCTTGCAAAACAAATAGCAGAGAAACTCGGTACGAATTTGTCATGCGGAATGGCACCTTTTTCTCAGATATATGGTTGCTTATCTCATTTTGATTTTATTTTAATATTGACTAGGTAGAATTGGGCCTAGGGTGGATATTTTACATTTTTGGAATGTTTACAGTAAAAGCTATTATAATCTTTCAGATTTGGAAAGTGAAAAAAAAATCCATGCTGGTCATCAGTGTGAATTGGAATTTTACCTTGACGGTGTAAGCAGGGCACTTCCACGTGAGCTGTCGTATTTGAGCTTTGTGACAGCCTCTGTGATAGACAGGGCTGTTATTGCTGTCATGTACAGATGGGTAAACTCGGTCAGATAAGCTGATGTCACACAGTCGGTCAGTGGCAAAGCCAGGATCAGAACCCCGCTTCCTGACTTCATGTTTGTCCACTGTACCTTTGTGTTGCATTTGATGCAGCTGCCCTCTTGCGTGGAAGGGCTCTCTGGTGACAAGAAGCTGTCCTTTCAGGAGGAACTTCTACAAGGGCACAGTGCAGCCCACAACACACAGTTATCTGACACAATGTGCACATCAGGCACACTGTCTTCAGTATTTTATGTGCTTCCTTTACACACAGTGTAACACAGGCATGAGGGCAACTTCCCACAGGTCTTAATGAAATGAACCAGCCCCGATGATGGCATTCAGATGGCTTTGGGTTTTGGTCCACAGTGCTCGCCGATGGGAGTGATCCATATCACACTTGATCCAGTTATTTCTCTTCTCAGGCTTAAAGCACTTTCCTGAAGCTGGGATACATTATGCAGACAGCATTACAGGAGATGGAAAAACCCTTGACATAGAGTTTAATGGCAACTGTAGCTTGGAAAAATTTTATGATGACCCGAAAAGCAATGATGGCCACAGCTACCGTCTGCAGTCTTGGCTGTACACCAATCGTCTCCTGCAGTACGCAGACGCCTTGGAACACTTGCTAAGCACAGGTGCAGTGTCATCAGTCAGGTAGCTCTGAGGAGTGTTTCTGTTCTTGAACCCTGTTCTAGAGTTCAAGCACTTTAAATTGCCACTAAGTAGAGCTTTTCTTTAAGGGTATTTGATGAGGCAAGTTCTGTCTTTACAGTATGATCATAAATTCTCTGAAATCAATGTTATTGTTGCTTTGGAGAAAAATTAACTTAATATTTCATTGTTGTGTACCAGAGTGGGATTTATGAACTGTATGAAATTTTCATATCAGTGCTCTAACTATATAAATGAAATATGTCAGGAGGATGGAGGAAAGAGAGGACGTAACAGCAACTGGGAGGAAGTGAAATCCTCCTTGTGAAGATGGGGCATGTGTCACACAGAGATGCGGACGACAACAAAATAGGATTGTCCTGGAGGGCTCAGAGATGGTCTGGAATTCACTGTATGACCACAGGGTAGAAGTTGAACCTTGAGAAGATGGCAGGTTTGGAGGAGGTGGGACACGGTCCCATGGCCTGTGCAGTAAGAGAGGATGTGTCCCTGGAAGTTACCCAAAGCAGGGAAGAAAGGCACAAGGGTTATATATTGGGGCAGGCAAAGTCCAGAGCCTGGGAGATGGGCAGCAGAGATCAGGAAACAAAGTTAGGTGAAGAAAGGGTGGGCGAATGGGGTGGGGACACAGGCCATGCATGTTCAGAATGAGATGAGAGTCCAGGCAGGGCTGCGTTATCTGGGAAACTGCAGTGCTTGTTAAATGTGGGCTGGACTCCAAAGCATCCTGAGAACCGGACAGCAGATACACTATTGATTCTTGGTCAAAGCCACAATACCACTGTGGCTCTGAATTCACAGGTTGAAGCAAATGGTATGTGTGTGGGAGAGGGAGATTGGTTGATTTTTATGGGCTTTGTTTCTGCTTTATATATGGGTTGCCACACTGGTTGATGGTCAGAGCTCCTGATGAGCTTTCTTACACAGAGAAGCTCAGCTGCCACTAGAGCTTGGCTTCATGGGGTCTGAGCTGTGAGAACAAGAGTGTATTTTTGACAAGGCGTCCGTATAACTGATGAAGCTGGCAGACAAGCCTGTGTTTGGGAGCCACGGCATGTGCTGTGCATGTGCATGGAGCACAAGGTACTGCTCTCATCTTAGCACTTGCAGAGGGGTCTGATTTGGTCTTGCTGTTCCAACATTTTATTAGTGATTCTTTTTTCTTATGTGAATGTAAGCACTGATTTTGGTTAGATTTTTTTCTTAGCTCTTAAGAAAAAAATGTGGTCTGCAGTCTGCTTTTTGATGTTCTGTACTAGGATCCAACTTAATAGGAGTTATGTGAATGTAAGCACTGATTTTGGTTAGATTTTTTTCTTAGCTCTTAAGAAAAAAATGTGATCTGCAGTCTGCTTTTTGATGTTCTGTACTAGGATCCAACTTAATAGGAGTTGATGAAGTAATAGCTTGGACTTAATACTGACGTTGGGGAGTACCCCAGATTCTCTCTGAAATATACTTCAGCCCTGTCTTGTGACTACACATTTCTTAAAATTAAAAAGAAACATTTTATTTGTTAAATGAAAACTTTTTGTTTCTTTTCGTACTATGTTAATATATTCATTTTGTACTATGTTAACATATTCATTAAGTATTTAATGAGTGCCTGCTGTGTACCAGGCCCATTCTAGGAGCTGGGATACCACAGGAAGGGAAGCTTGTGTTCTCATAGGGGGATAAAGACTAACCGTGGAAGCAAGTACATCAGGCAATGAGTGAGTTGGGGGATGCTCTGAGGAACAGGCTGAGGAGTTGGGTTGGGGGCCGCTCTTTGAGATGGGAAGGTTAGGGGAGGCCCCTGCCCCGACATACAGGGCTGAGTGCAAGGAGACCAGCTGGGGGCCTTGGGAACTCGTGCTCTGAGCTGCAAGAGTGACCATGAGGGAGCTGCTGTGACAGTAGTGCAGCGAGTAAGGGTGAATGAAGATGAGGTTGGAGAAGTGGCCCAGGCAAGATGGCCTGGCCTGGAGGACCACGGCAGGGACTGGTTTTTTCTCTGAAGGAGAGGAAGCTGCTAGGAGGCTTGAGTGCAGGAGTAACACGGTCTCGCCTAAGTTTGGGAATGCTCCTCTGGGGTACGCGAACAGTCTGGGGACAAGGGCAGAAGCAGGGAAAAGAGGTGAGGGGACCTGAGGGTGGGAGTGGTGCTTGGTGGCTACATTTGAGATGTGATGGTTTGCTGATGAGTGGGGCCAGGGTGTGAGAGCGGGGAGTTGAGGACAGCTCCAGGATCTGACCAGAGTGGCTGGGGCAGGCACAAGATTGTGGTGGGCACAGTGGGGAGTAAAATAGGTTGTTTAAAACTCAAAACCCTTTTTGTGTTAACGGGATGCTTTTGTTATAGCTGGCTGAATGAAACAGAATATTACCTTACCCAAAACCAGAAAGGTGTTATAGTTTTTGACAATGATTTCCCACTTATAAATATGTATGTGTTCTTGTGGATGTATTTGGTGTGGAAATGGAATTATAAATGACTGTTTCCCCTTTCTGAAGTGAAATCGCTAGTTTCCAGTGCTTGGTATCTGATTTTTAGTTTTAGTTTCTCTGTTTTCAAACAGGACAAGGTGTCGTGCTGGAGCGCTCCATCTTCAGCGACTTCGTTTTCCTGGAGGCGATGCTCAAGCAAGGCTTCATCCGGAAGCAGTGTGAGTCAGCGCTGCCCATGGCTGCCTCTGCTCGCGCGCAGCTTCTGTGCAGTTCCTGTGCTCCGTGCATGTCTGTTAAGTAGATAAATAAATGCCTTTACTTAATAAGTTTTTACAGGAGAAAAGGGAACTTACTGAGGTTCCTTTCATCCTCTTTTCATCCTAAAACAGGCATCTTTTGTCCTCTCCACCTCTCTGTGCAAACAGAGCAGGGCCCAGATTCTCTGACACACACAGTAAACCGTCAGCCTTGTCCAGGAACCTTGCCAGCACGGCTAACCCTAGCAGCCTGCTGCTTTTCCTCTTCCCATGGATATGTTCTCTCCGAGCTCTGCAACTTTTAGTGCGTGGTTGTGTGGACCTGTGTCGCTCCCTGTGCCTGTCCTTTGTGGTTTGCAATGTCACCACAGCCCCTTCTCTTCTTGCTGCTGCTCTTACGTTTTAGAGAGAACAGCATGGGGCTGGGTACTGTGAAAGGTCTGACAGATGGCACATGGAAAAGGATAATTGGTTAAGAGGAGGTGCCCTCGAGGAAGTGTTGGGGCAGCACATTGAACAGACCGTGTGGCCAGTCTGACTGCTGTCATTTTCATGTGTGGTTTGGGGGTCAGTGCATATATTGTTGGTTAGTGGACAGGGAGTCTTCTGAAGCAAGCCAGGTGATGACTATGCGGGCGGGGCTGTCTGCTCCTGGCCTGCTTCTGTGTCCTGGTCTTAGGGGAGGCCCCTGTGTACAAAGAGTAGTCAGAGCCTGTGCTTCTGACTAAGGGGCTGGCCCTCCCTAGACACAACGGCAGGCGCTGGGCTCAGTCAGCAAGCATTTCTGGAGTGTTGCTATGTGCCAGGCTCTGTGTTAAGTGCTGGGGAGATACAGATGCCGGAGACAAGGCTCCCCCAACCCTGGGGCAAGGAAGGGGGCCGCTAAACCAACAGATGGTTAACTGCAATAAAACGCACTTAACGGCTGCTCAGTATTCCTCAGGGGTGCTGTGGAAGCACACAGGGGGAACAGCTAACTGGCTGGGAGGTGGCTAGTTGTCAGGGACAGCTTCCATGACGAGTGGTGAGTCGTCTACAGTGCAGTAGGGGTGGGGGAGGCGAGGGACAGGTGGAGGAACCTGCGTCAGCAGCAGGCCAGCGACGTTGTCATGGAGTGAGGCCAGGTGCTGGCCAGGGGTGACACTGGAGAGGAAGGGCTTACACCTTGGTGAGGACGTTTGGATTTTGTCCTGAAGTACTGAGGCACCACTGCAGGATTTTAAGCATCGCAAGGATGTGGCTGGATTTGAGTTCAGGATGGTCACAGGCATTTGTCTGAAGGTGAGGGGAAATTCAAAGGGAGGCCAGTTGGGAGGAGGCTGGAGTGGGGCGTTGTGCCCAGGGTGGAGGTTGTACTGGGCAGTGTGAGTTAACTCCTGAGAGGGACACTGGGCAGGCCTGGGCGGTCAGCCTCATGGGGGCACTGCGGGGGAGTGGCGGTAGACCTGCCTGGTTAGTGGGCTGCCGAGCGAGAAGGACTCGGGGTGGGAGTTGAGGCAACGACTGCAAAGTGGCTTTGCGTTTGGTCATCTTGGGTGTGAGGTTCCTCAGAGAGAGGCCGTGGAGACGCCCGCAGGCAGGGGGATGTCTGTGTTGAGATCCTGAGGACTGTCCTGGCGGGAGAGTTTGGGGTCAACACTGACAGTGTGCCTGCTTATCCTGGGCACATCGTGCAGTGAGGACGAGGACTGAGACAGATCTTGGGGTGCCATTTCTGGGCACATGGGAGCCCCCTGAGGAGTTAAAGCTGAATTGTCAGAGGTGTACAAGGAGAGTGGGCGAGGAAGGTTGGTTGTCAGTGTCACGTGGACTGTGACAGGAACTAAGAGATGACTGTTGGATTTCACCATTGGGGGTTGGTGATGATAGCAAGAGTAACTTAAGTGTTGGGTTGGGGGAAGCAAACCATGTTGGCGATAGCGTGGACGGCCTACGACATGGTGAAAAATTGCCTAGGAAGCAGGGATGCTAGCAGGATTAAGGAGGAAGGGAGACCTAGCAGAGGAGGCACACGAGGCCTGCTGTGTCCTGCCTGATGGCGTTGTGTCCTGTGGTTGGGTGAACAGTGCCCACGGTCCGCCTCAGTCCTCTGCTTTGGTCTCCTCCCTTGTCCTTCCTGTCCCTCCAGCTCACATCGTCCCTGGCCTTGGGTCAGAGATCCATCCCGAGATTGCCTCTAAAGTGAAAGTTACTAGGATTGGTCTCTAGAACGTTTTCTTTAGAGCAAAGTAATTGTCTTTCCATGGACCTTAGCATGATCACTCATTTGTCACTTCTGGAAGATTCCACCGTGTGAAAATCTGCATCGGCAATGGTTTCTTGACATTGTCCCTGTGGTGGGTGAGAGGTGGTGGTTTCATTCCACACACTGGAGCGGATCCTCCCTGTTGATTTCTGGTACAGTTGGTTTGTGCAGGAGGACGTCCAGGTGCAGAGTATTCTTCAAAACAACAGAGACACTCTTTAGCATCACAGTTGTTATGTGATCGCAGTCTGTATAATATATTCTGTGTAACGATAACTTTAGTAGAATTTTTCCTCAGCCTTAGCTGCATTTAATTTTGTTTTTTATTACTAAATCTGATTCAGTAGATAGTTCTATGTAGCTGATTAGATTTACTGAAGTATGCTGAACCCGTGTACATGTACCTAGACATTTTGCTGTTGAGTTATTTGAAAAATAAAGTATTTAAAAATGTTTTTACTTTCTAGAGAAGATCAGACTCTTTTATCTGTTATTACTATGAAGAAATACACATGTAGCAGGTGTATATAGTGCCTTTCAGTTCACAGAACACTAAAATGGACAACTGCGTGACCTTCCCTTGCCTAGGAAGTAAAAGTGCACTCTCACATGTGGCCAAGATGTGTTACAAATGTGTCCTTTAGAATGCTGTTGAGGTCACGTTTTAAATCCTGGTGTTTTACTTCGTGTAAGTTGCTTAATTTCTCTCAGTCCTGTGCTTTTTTTTTTTTTAAAAAAAAAAAAAAGATGACCGGTAAGGGGATCTTAACCCTTGACTTGGTGTTGTCAGCACCACGCTCTCCCAGTGAGCTAACCAGCCATCCCTATATAGGGATCCGAACCCATGGCTTTGGTGTTATCAGCACCGCACTCTCCCGAGTGAGCCACGGGCCAGTCCTTCATCCCTACACTTTTGGCCTGTAAATCCAATGGGGGTGGGAAGCACTGTTTGCAGGGTTGCTGTGAGCATTACAGCTGATGTGTGCAGATGCCCCATGGCACCTGGAACACAGTCACACGCTGTGTGCATGTGGTCAGTGGTTACAGCTGGGACTGTCATGTGGTGACATGGCTCTAAGAATTGCCTACACCTTTTCCCCTTTATTCAAGAAGGAGTGTGTTTGAGAACCTCTGTGAGGACTGTTAGATGACAGATGTGCCTCTTTTGTGTGTGCCAGGTGTGGAACACTACAATGATGTGAAGAAGGTCACCATCTGTGAATACCTGCCTCCCCACGTGGTGATCTACATCGATGTGCCTGTTCCAGAGATCCAGAATCGCATTCAGAAGAAAGGAAATGTACCTCCATTTTTAAGTGGGAGGCCAAGCTTATTTTTAAGTGTCCTTGCTATATTTAACGTAGATCAGCACTTAAAAGTCATGTTTACAGTAGGTTACCAGTTCTTGACAGTCCTCACCAAGATGGGTGGTGCACACAGTAGGTCCCAGCTGAGAGAAGGCACTTGTGCAGGTGGAGGGGAGGCTCCGGGGCTCAGGCTGGTGCTGCCCCTGGTTAGGAGCTACTTCAACCAGTGATCTCCAGTCCCGCTGTTGTCCCCAAGTCACCTGAGCTGTCCTTGTGAGGACAGGGAAGGCCTCCAGACAGAAATCACTCTGCTGACTACTCTAGTCTCTAAAGGGTTTTTGTGTTCTGTTATTTTCCCACAAATTGAAAGCTATTTCTAATATCCTTTCAGTTCATCATTTCCATCTGTTTAACTCAAATTGTGCGTCTCTCCCTCTTTTTTCTGCTTACTGATTCTAGAGCAGTAGAGCAGTGATATCCACACATCCATTTTCTCTTTTTATACTTTCTGTTGAGTCTTAATTAGATGGTATAGAAACTCCACATTTAGAAGTTAGCCTGTGGCCATCAGTAGCTCTGTAGGCTTGATGGAGGATACAGAGATTAACAGAGACCATCTTTGCCCTTATGGGTAGTTCTTGTTTAGTATTACAGTTTTTTTTTCTTGGAGGAAGTTAATGATTTCTGTGATATTGTGATGAAGATGCAGGGATGCCTCTTTGTTCCTGATTCTGGTGCCCATCCTCAGTGCTGGGATACTTGTGGGTGCTCAGTACATACCTTTCTGAATGGCATGTACGTGTAAGATAAGCAGAAGGCTCCGGTTGTCCTTTGCTGCTACTGATAGGTCCCACAAGACTTGCTTTCCTCCCTCTTTCAGTAGTAAACTCATATGAAACAGTGCCTTTTATCGTTTAAGAGTCTGTGCATAAGCATGATGTGTGATTTAGACTTCCAAGGACATTCCATCAAGTGCAAATGGAGGGAACTGCAGGTTAGAAATACTTGGATATTTATCAGTGGAATAATTTTGGACATCTTTGCTTATTACACCAATATTTATTGAGAAAAACAGGCATGTATTCAGAATTCTCTAGATAATTATTTTATTATCTGGGATAACAGTATTTCAAAAACAATTCTGAGGTCCAAATTAGAGCTTTCAAAATTTTAATTTTTCCGAGTAAAGTTAGATGAGTACTGTCACCATCTAAAATTTCCACTGTGTGTAAGGAAAGGAGACGTTTTATAAAAGAGACATTATATTGTTAAGTGTGCGTACTTATTTTGATTTAGTGCAGTCTGTGCCTCTGTGTTGCAGCCTTTAGATGTTCCTGTCAGTTCCTAGCCATTTCTAAGTTCTAAGAAAACAGGCAAAGTTATTGATAACTAAATATTTTATCTAGTATTTGTGGGTCAGATTTCTGAGATGGTTGGTTTTTTTTTTTTTTTCCTTTTTGTCTTTTTTCGTGACCGGCAACGGATCGCAACCCTCAGTGTCGCGCCCGCACCAGACCGGACACCGGCAACGGGATTGCAACCCCCGGCGTTGCGCCCGCACCTCGCTCAGCCAGTGAGCGGGAACCGGTCTGTATGTGGGATCCGAACCCTCGGCGGGAGCGCCGCCGCGCTTCCCAAGCAGCGCACTACAGCAATGCGCCACCGGGCCGGCCCTGAGATGGTTGTTTTTATGTTATATGTTTGTAGTACACTGGAGTCCCTTTTATAATCAGTCTGCATTTAATCTTATTTTACTTGGAACATAACTAATGATAATGATTTACAATCATATCACCTGTTCTACAATGCTGTTGTTGGTTTTACTCACTGTGCTGATACTGAGCACCTCCTGTATGCAAGGCTCCTGTGGCAGGTACCTAGGAGGATACAGAGATTAGCAGAGACTGTCTCTGCCCTGATGCCAAGTCCTTACTGGAAAGTACAACTTCCAGGTTCAGTATTTCTCCTGAGGGAAGATGGGATCCCTTTTCTGACAGTGATAAGAACACAGAGCTTCTTGTGTGTCCTTTCCCCTGTGCCTGGTCTCACTGCTGCAGTTAGAGGCATGTAGTGAGCACTCCTTGAATGATTGGGGTTCTTTTGTTTTGTTTTTTGAACAGCTTTAGTGAGGTATAATTTATACTCTAAAATTCACCCATTTTGAAGGGTACGATTCAATGGTTTTTGGTAAATTTACCAAGTTGGTGAAACTACCACCATAATTCAGTTTTAGAATATTTTCATCATTTTGTAAGGTGAACCAATAGGCCTATTAATTTCTTATTTCCTTTCTCCCTCTTTCCTGCAAGTATGAGTGTTAATCGAGCATCTCCTGTGTATTAGACACTCTGGTGGTGCTAGTATATGTCACTGAACAGGGTGGACATGAGCTTATATGCTAATGGGGGAGACCCATAGTAAACAAGAAAATAGATGAGAAATACATCAGATAGAAGTAAATGCCACGAAGAAAATAAAACAGGCGAAAAGATAGTAAACTTAGCCTTTGGCATTGCTAAACTGTAAGAAGTTTTAGATAGTGAAGCTTACCACTTATAATAGGATTTTTGAATTACTGAAATTGGATTAGCACGCTTAAATGAGAAGGGCTGTGAGAGGTAGTAAAAGTGGGAGAGGTGGTTGGGGGAAGACGGGTGAGTGGTAGAGAAAGGGAGGAGGTTGGAGAGATGGAGAGGGTTGGACCACAAGGAGGAGGATGCTAAGGACAGATGGGGACAGGCAGGCCACGCCACCCCCCCCATGACCTGTGGTCTTTTGTGGCCTGCACTCAGGCTCGATGGAACAGGAAAGACAGGCAGCATAACTTTATAAAAGGGGCTTTTTTCTTAACCCTATTCTTAGAATACATCTTAGAGCCTGTGGAGGAAGGTCATGTGATGGGCTCACCTGGGCAAACAGGTGTTCACTGTAGTAGAAGGAGTACTTCTAACTGATGCTGAGGCCCTTCTCTGTCACCCTGGGGTCACTAAAGTGCCCAGCATGAGTTGTTTGAAGAGAACAGTGCTCATTGATTGTCTTCGCATTTTATGTGAGCACAGGAAAAGAAAATGAGTCTAAATGTTCCCAGCTTGATTTTTCTGCTTTTCTTTAGCCACATGAGATGAAGATCACCTCTGCCTATCTTCAGGACATCGAGAATGCCTATAAGAAGACCTTCCTCCCTGAGATGAGGTGAGCCAAGCACATAAGTGGTTTATAGGACTAAGGTTTCTTGGCAAATAGTTTCTTATGCCCCAGCAGCCCAGAGAGGTTTTTTTAGTGCAGTGGATGTCATCTGGGGTGTTTTAATCTGATGTTTATAAACAAGTGATGGGAGACATTTCAGTTTGATTTTTGTGGGTGTTCGTATGCATGCATTTGTTTTGGTTTGCTTGTTTTGCCAGTACTTTTTGTGTTCTGTTCTATTTTTAAAGTTTTTTTGATGCTAAAGGTAAACCCAAGCTCTGTTTCATGACAATTTTTAGCATTAGCGAACTTTTGTATTTTTGCTTCAGGTGGCAACTAAACATTCCTGTTTACTCGTAAGGATTGCCTGAAAGCACTCAGTGCATTCACAGAGGATGTTCATGAAGGATGAGCAGTCTCTGTAGGTGCTTTTGACATCATTGAGAGACATTTGGGTTGGATGAAGGAGACATCACCAGACCTTTTTTCTTCCTTCATTTTCTGTTTCTTTAATGAAAGCTCAAGGGGAGTGTGTTTTCATCCTTTCTGTAGCTTGTGCTCTGTGATCCTTGATGTATTCAGGTGTAAAAGAGTCATTCACTACTGTCACTCAAGGACAAAGTGAGGTTCCTTGAGTAATGCTTTTATTGAAGGTTTCAGTAGTATTTTTCATGCTTTTTAAAACTCAACCCTCTATTGATACCTAAGAATCTCATGCCCTTGTAAATATAGAATGTGAATAGAAACAAACTAAGGTGCAGTAATTTTGGAAGAAAGTTTTATTTCTAAATTGAAAGTATGTATGTTTTCTAGCCATTACATTGCCTCTGCTTGCCTGTGATAAGCTTTTCTTTCTTAGGTGGTTGAAAAGACAGGGTGAACTGTAGGTTCCTTTCAAGCTGTTGTGCTGCTCTGTTTTCCAGACCAAAAGTACAGAAGAAAAGCAGTTTTGTAAATCTGTGCCAAGGGGAAAATGTAGAACTATCCGAATAAACAGCATAAACAGATAGTTGACCCTAGAATTTCAGTTTCAAAAGTTCCTCTTTGAGATCTTTTGCCTGTAAAAACGTCACTGCAGAAAAGCTTCTTCACTGATTCTCAAATAGAACTTTTAACTACACCATCAGGAAAGTAGTGCCTGATTTCAGCTTGCATACAGGGTGGGAGTTTTTTTTACCTTGCAGTATTCTCAAGAACTTATACTTCAGGGCTTCCTGATGATGAGATATGTTTAGCAACAGTTATAAGTATCCCTTGTTTGACTGGGCCATACGTACTTGAACTGGATTGGTATTTAGCTTGTGGAGTCTCAGAGTCAGCATTCTGCAGCTCATGTGTGCTTCAAAGGCTCAGGGAGGTGCTGTTTTCCATAGAGCTGAAAATCAGACAGCTCCTCCTACGGCTGATAAACCTGGCCATGCACATTTCTTCGGGGTGACTGGTGAACCACAGCACACGGCAGTGGAATGTTCACATCCTCACAAATCAAACCCAGAGGCTGATGGTTAACTCTGTTTTTCTCATAACTGACTACTTCCGTAGTGGAGTTCAGGCCTTGCCAATGGCTGGACAGAGGTTTGGAAGCCACTGCTTCGTGGTGAGTGACACAGTAGTTCCTGAGAATGGATTTTACTAGATCTTCGTCACACCAGAATTGCTGGGACACTGCCACTGCATGCTCCAGGAGTTCTGGTGGGAGGTGTTATGTCTGTCATTTGAGTGCCTTGATCACCTGGGACCTTCATGGCCCTTGCCCGTTCCTGGTATTCTGGTGCCATTCACTCTCAGAAGGAGCAGAGAATCACACTTAAGGGGAAGAAGCTTCCATGATTTCCCCAGAGGTTAGTTTGAGTTTGAATGTTTCTCAGGTGTGAAGAGTGCATGTCATCTTTGCCCAGTATTTTTAGACTTATAATAAATGTCGATGAAATGTACCTCTTTTTTTTTTGTATAAACCTTATCAAATTTCCAGGTTTGTTGGTTTGTTAATTTGTTCGCTTTTTTCTTTATTTGTCCTGGCTTCAGCCACCCAAAAGGGAAGAGTACACATCCGAAATGCTGAGCAGGTCTGGCTATTTTTGTGGGGCTCATGTTGTTAGAGGTGGGCATGGAGTGTGCCCCACTCTGAGCAGCAGCACGTCGGTCATTTGTTTTCGTCTTTATTCTCGTGCTGGTTCTCGCCCTATCTAAGGTCGTCTCAAGCCCAAGCTCTGTGTCTGTCCTTTGTGAATCCTCTCTTTTCCCAAACCTGGGCAAACCAAGAAATTTTAAAGAGTGTTTTTTTTTTTTTGGATGCTTGTTTGTTTGTAGCACATTATACTAAATATAAAGTAAACATTTGATGAAACTTGTAACAAGTAGGTTATAATGAAACAATTTTAGGTTTCCTGGGCTTTATTTAAACCATCATTTAGTTAAATACTGTATATTTACAATGAACAACCTTAGAAGATAATAAATATTGTTAGACTACTAGTAATTACACAATAAAATAAAAATTTAACAAGAAAAGTGCTTCTTTAGCTTCAGTATCGGTGTTGAAACAAAGTAGACTTACTTGACCAGTTGATGGCTTCCACTGGGTGAATTCTGCTTGTCTGTGTCCTCCTGAGTGATGTCCCCTGTGTTTAGCTCTTCTCTCTAACGCATGGTGACGTGGTAATATGTCATTGTTTTTTGTATGTTGTTTATGAATGCGTGAAGAACATTGCAGCCTTTTCCAAAATATTTATATTGTGGATTTTAAGAGGGACAGTGAGCTACCTACCTAAGGAATGTGTATTTTCTGCCTTTGTCAACAATTTATGACCCAAATCCTAGGAGTACATCCTTTTACCTTGATGATGAATGTATCATAAATAAGTATGACCTGTTGTTCAGCTAATATTTATTCAGCTCAGTTGATGTCAGCTGGAGACATGGTGGTGCACAAGAAAGGTAGGGCAGGCCTGCCTGAGAAAGGTACTTGTAAAATGAGGTTTCAGAACTGTGAAAGGGAGCTCTGTGTGACCAGCCTCACATTCAAGTGAGTTTTGTAAGCACCCATTGTTTCAGATTGTTCTAAGCAGGTGAGAGCTGGGGGAGGCTCTGGAAGTACTGAGGTGTGGTTGAAGTTCAGGAGTAAGCGTGGCCACTGTGGGGTTGGGCATGAGTCACCTCCTCTGGATCAGTGGCCCCACACTTGTTGGCTCTCCTTTTGCAAATCAGTGGGAATGAGAGGCAGGCATGACCCAGCAGAGGAGGGTGTGTTTTGTGTGCTATCTGTCTGTGACTGGGGCATTGTGCAAGGTACTTTGCCCATTGTAGGCACCAGAAGATATCTGCTGTATCAGGGCACACAGGAGATGGGAATGTTAGGCTATAAAATTGACTCCAGGTTGCTTCAGCAAACGGTATGGGGGTCTCCAATTCCTTGAGGGCGGGAGCCCTGTCTTTATCACCTTGTATGCCTCACACGGTGCCTGTCGCCTGGTGGGGGTTCCATAAATGTCTGTTCAGTTGTCTATGTTGAAAGTACTTGCCACGTATTTTCCTGATTCTCTCAAGAATGCCAAATAGTTTGTGACCTTTCATATTGCTGTGTGAGAAAAAATAACATTTCAGTGCCAGCTCCGTTCACTCCCTTGATCATCAAGGAGTGTTTACAGCCTCTGTCTCCTAGACACTGGATCATACAACTTGCAGAGGAAAATTACTCCCCTAGGTCACTTTGTATCTTTCTCTTCATAACAACAGTGGGTAGCTCCAGGTGGTTGAAGAGGTCTGTAATTAGAGTGACCTTTTACTTCCCAACTTTAATGGCAAATGCAGTGAGATGTCTTCCTAACTGTATGGATTCATCATTCATTGTGTTTACAGTTTCTGACCATTGGCATTGATCTTAATAGTGCTATGAGAAATGCAGTGATCTAGTTGCAATAAGAGACTATTATCCAGTTGGGTGACTGTCTTTGAACCATGTGCTATAGGCTTATGTAGAACAGATGTTTTCTGTAGGAATTATAGTGCTTAAAGACTTTGTTCTCTCTCTTACACTTTGGAATTAATGAGAGTCAGTAATAATGATACTTAATACAGTAGAAATATTTTACCTATACTAACTCATTTAATGAAACCAGCGGTCTATTGAAGATGGTCAGCAGAGTTGGTGAAGTTTGATATGATTGTAGGGGTCCATATATGTTGATTTCAATCTGAGAATAAATAGCTTATAAATACTTGGAGTGTTTATATGTATGCTCTGGTATAAAGATACCTAAATGAGGAAATGTCCCTTGTTTGTGCCATTCAGATGATATGTGGGGAACACTTGTCTCCTTCTGCCGTGTCCTTGATGGAAGGGGTCCTCACATTTCTGTGGTGACAGGCACTCCAGCGGTTCTCCTGGTCTGGCTGCCTGATGGCAGATGCTTCTGGCCAGGGTGTAGGTTGCACAGGCTCCTTTTAGGTGGTCTGTGGGTGATGGCAGAGGCGGCTCCTTCCTTTGGTGAGGCACAGACTTACCAGCCTGCTGGTTTGCAGTCCTCCCCTGGCTGGACTGCAGGTTTGTAGATAGATGGTCAGTGTAAACATGGGAGGAAGTGGGCAAAAGTGCTGGAAGTGGTGAACTGGCATCCCCTTCTTTTTGCGACCCAGTTGTGATGTTTCAGTGTCCAGACTAGGAACCAAGGACTACGGGGGCTGAGTTGATGCTACTGTGTTGTATAGTTTGGTTGAAACAGATTATGTTGAGGGTTTCATTTATCTCCTAAATTCTAAATTCCAGTGGCTCAATTAATCTGTGGCCCACCCTGTGTTTTTGCTGTTACCATGCTTGAGTCTCGGTTAGGCCCTGGGCACCTCTGTCCTTTCCTGTGATGGGTGCTGCAGTTGGAGGTTGCATGTCCCTGTCCACAGTGGTGGCTGCGGTCTCTCCCACCCTTGGGCTTGGGGGGCACTGTCATCAGGGAGAAGGGAAGCTAGGAGACAGACCAGCTACTGTCACTGTCACGCCAGAGCACATTGCTGTTGCTTTGAACAGTCGGCTATACTGAACCATTACATGCCCAGCACGATGTCCAGTTCAAAGAACGTGAAGTTTTAGTGTTCACAGCAGGTGACTTTAGTGGTGTGTATTTATTTCCACATTAACTTTAGCTTGGAAAAGTTCATGTTGAATTTCATTTTGCTTTTTCTTGCAGTGAAAAATGTGAGGTTTTACTGTGCAACGCAAGGGAGGCTGAAGATACAGAAAAGGTAAGAGATGGCGGGAAGTTTCTGATTATTCTCAACTTTGACTCAGGGGTGAGTTTCCTGCAGATCACATGATCCAGTTCCCTCAGGTCTTAGAAATGTCAGTGTTTTATAATATAGAAGCAGCACTGCCCCAGCCATCACACTGTCTTGGCTATAAGGTTTTGATTTTTCAGATAATTCAGTTTCTATGACCTTCAAGTTATATAGATGCTGAAGGTGCAAAGAGCCTTCGGCCATCTGCTCCAACTTTTTATTAAACAGATGGTAACACTGAAAGTTGAATTAGTTAGTGGGAAAGATTTAGTCACATAAAGATAGCACCTTTCCCAAAATTAATGCCTTTTGTGAAATTCCAGTCAATCTCATTATAGTTTTCAGGGAACTTAATGAGTAATAGCCAAAAAAATTTTGAAAAAGAATAACACGGGAACATTTGCCCTGCTGAATACAAAAACATACTAAAAAATTATAGTAATGAAGGCATTGTGGCCTTAATACAAGAATTAATAAATAACGTAATGAAACACCAGGGTCAAGAGTTCGAATCCTTCTACTGGCCAGCCCCCCCAAAAAATAAGAAGAAACGAAAGAGTCCAGAAACAGGGGCAATCGTGCGCACATGTGTCTTTAGTTTGGTAGTCAGTTCCTTAAAGGATAATCAAAAAATGAAGTAGGGAAATAGTATTGAGGCAGCTGAACATCCATTCACTAAAAAACAGAAGTTCCTATTTTATATTATATGTTAAGCATAATTCACTAAAAACAAAACGGTATAAAAATTCTAGAAGAAAATATGAGTTTTAGAATCTGAGTTTGAGTCATAACAGGCTGACTGCATTAGTCACAGCCATTTCGCTTTCCTCGCAGCACGGGCAGAAGTAGGGGCAGTTAAGGGTGTGAGCCTTTTACAGAGAGAAGAGCCTTCTCCTTTCAGACAAGCAGCCTGCAGTCCAGGCCCAGCTCTGCTGCTACCAGGTGCAAGAATTCTTTTGAGGCCTTGGTTCACTGTACTTGGACTGATTAAATTACATTTTACTTTCCTTCCCAACCCTCTGTTTCTGTGCTGCTGACTTGTTTTTAGACTGTTTTTGTACCTTCTGACAGAATGTTTGGATGGCGTGTATCTTAGAAGAGTAGTACATTTTGTCTCCAACACTGGTGTTATTTGAGTCCATTATTGAATAGTTCATTATTGAATGAGCTATGAATTATTATTGAATGTACTCAAACTTCTGAAACTTAAAGAGAGTCCCCAAGTCTGGCGTGTTTGACAAGAGCGTGCACATGAAGAGGAGGTGCTCTCTGTGTGGAAGGCAGGCTCGGGCAGGGCTCAGACTGAGCCTCTCCAGGCAGTGTTCTTGCTTGTCGGTCACTTGGAGTGGCTAGAGCTCGCCTTCTAGAGTGAATTTACTTGGGAAGGAATGAGTAGTCTGTCGTGAACACCCTCTGGTCTCGATTCTTTTTCTCATCTGTCCTCTTCCTCCCAGCCTGCGAGGTGATTTCTGCGCCACTGCAGGGCTGGAGCGCTGGCCGGCGAGGCCGTGTCGAGGCAGCATCTCTCCGCCCCACTGCTTCATTACGTCATCCAGTTGAACTTTCTTTTTGACTTGTGGTGTGATTCTTAAAATGTTTTAAAATGTTACGTCATTTCAATTTCTAAAATGGGACTCTCCATTTAAATTGGGGTTTTTTTCTGTCTTAGGTGATAGAAGACATTGAACGCCTCAAGTGTGACAAAGGGCCTTGGCTCAAGCAGGATGATCGGACTTTTCACCATCTGCGAATGCTGTGAGTTCCCTGATTTGGGGGAACTGCTAAAGGAGGAACATAAGACTTTGTTTTTTAATTGATTTATTTATTTCGAGTATAGTACGTTGTGTCTACTTGCATGCTGTAGAAACTTACAGAATTTGAAATAATTATGTTTCAAGTTAGGTGTTAGTTAATAGCACCAACAAATAAAGTGTACTTTCTTTTCCCTTCTAAACAGCTCTTGAATTCTCTGGTCTGATGATTAATTAATTAATTTCCATTAGTAATTCACCAAATATTTTGCTTCTGCTATTTGCCAGGTGCTGTTCCAGATTTAAAGGATGTAGTATCAAATGAAATTCCTGCTCTCATCAGAGATACGTTTTAGTAAGGAAGACAGAGTACACAAATAAATAAAACTGTTTTGGGTCATAAAGGCTGTGAAGAGAAGTAACCTGGAGTAGTCCGTGGCTGGGTTGCGAGTGACACGGGTGCTGTAGGGGCACAGAAGACTTGAGCAAAGCCAGGACCAGGCCCTGTGGGTGTCTGGGGTGGGGTGGGGCAGGAGCAGAGGCTCTGGGGCAGGCATGTGGGAGGAGGTGCACCCCGCAGCCCAGCCAGTGTGGCCGGAACAAGGGGTAGTGGAAGAGGGGAGACCATGACAAGTGGTGGGGGTACCCATTGCTGTGCTGCCCACTCTGCAGCGCTGGGGAGGTGGTCCCACCCTGTGTCAGTCTCTCCTGCTTCCCAGGGTCTGGCATGGCTGACTGCTGTGCCAGCCTCTCCCCTGCCCTGCTGCCTGCCCTCATGGCGCCTGCCACATTCCGCCTGCAGCCTGCGTGCTGGTCATGGCCTGTCTTCTGCTGGTATGTAGACTCCAGCCATGTAGGAAACTGTCTTCTGAGCATGTGGTGCCCTCAGGAGATGTATCTGAAGTGAGTTTGATATCTTTTAGAACTATAATTTCTACAAATTCAGGGATGATTTTGTAATGAATAGCGCTGTTACAATTCCGATCATTAATAAATCACAACATTTGAGTATTTTAGAGTCTTTACCTTATGAGAGTGGAGGAAACATGAATAATTTGGGGTCTGCCTTTTGTGCCATGTCCTGAGTGCCAGCCCGGCCCGACCCCATCCTGTGCTGTTTCCGGCTGCTGCTACCCCAGAAGACTGTTCTCAGCACTGAACCCTTGGACCCTGAAGGGTGACCTAGTGAGGCTGCACAGCCCCTCGCCTATCTAGGGCCTGTTCAGGCATGGGGATTGCCTGGCGCTTAGCATTCTCACTCCTCGTGTTCAGAAGTAAGGATGGTGTTAGGACAGGAGCGACTGCACAGGGGTGGTCTGTTCCTGGCCCTGTGCTGGTGATGGTGCCTTTTCAGTGGTGCTGGTGTCCTTGGGCTTTTGATACTCGTGTGTGGGTGGGACTGACCCTGCTTTCTCCACCTGATGGGATGTGAGTGAAGCAGTCATCTCCTAGGATGCCCAGAGGGACAGCTGGCTCACCACACACAGCTCAGCGTTCACTGATCAAAACCAAGGCTAAATAAACTCAATGTGAAATAAGGAGTTTTATCTTCTGTTTGATGTTTCTAGTACAGCAGTAATGAGCAAAAAATAGATTGACCTGAATAAAACTATTCAGTGTACTTAGTTTATTAATTCATAGCGCACTATTTAAGTAGTAATTGCAAATTAAAATCAAACCAAATTATGTATATCTTTAACTGTAAGAATGACTGTTCTAGGCAGTTGGAGTGGATACCACTGAAAGATGAGCAGAAGGGCACAGCGTGGACGCCCACGTCAGGCTGGTGAGGTGGGAGGTGGCTGAGGTCAGCGGTCAGCTGCCTACCTGACTTGGGACCAGTCACCTGACCTGCTTGTGCCTTGGCTTCTTTGTCCATGAGATTATGGCATCAAAGTAGAACACTAAGCTGTGCTTATTGAAGGAAAACCAAATGAGCTCGCTTATCCACAGGTGACTGGCCAGAAACTAGTGCAGTCCTCTGACATTGTGAATTTAGAGGTTTCTGTAGGACGTTGAAGTCAGCTGGTAGTTCCCTATGAAGCCATTTTTGTTGAAAAAGCAGTTTGTGGCCAGGGGCTCTTGAACACTGGCATATTCTGAGTAATTTTATCTTTGGTACAGGGATGGACAAGATAAATAAAGGAAAAGAGACTGGCTCTCAAGAGCAGAAAATAAAGGTGGTATATTTCTAAAAAGAAAATGCTTTTAATAGCAGAGATTCACCTTTTTGAGACCACGTCAGAAGTTACTTGAGAGGGGCTCAGCCACTTACCGATCGCTGAGACCCAGGCCAGTGGCTGAGCCACTCTGTGTCTCCATTTCCTCATTGTAAAGCGGGGAGATAGCACCCACCTCATAGGACTGTCGTGAGGATTAAACACACGAATAATCGGAAGGGCTGAGCACAGCATGTATCATCAGCACTAAATAAGTTTTAGCTGGTAGATTATGGTAATTATGATACTGCTCTGTGGTGTATTATATTCTGATTATAGATGCATGATTGTCTTACATTTTCTGTTAGTATTTTTGTTCTTTAATACTTTGCTTCTTTATGTGTTTTCTATTTAGTTTTTTTCTGATCTCAGAAATAGTTTAAGTTCATCATCCTCAGCTCACACGTTCCAGAAATTTACCGAGTAGTTGAACCCAATCCCAGAGATAGCCATGACTGACATGCCTTTCACCTTTTCTCTTCCGTACATGAGCCGGTGCTACGTATTGTTTTGTTGTTGTTGTGGTACCCTGGATTCCCACTGTGGTCCACTCCTTGGTGAGATGGAGACCTTCTGAGCTGTATGCCCACCAGCCGTATGTGTTTAGCAACTCTTTGTATACACATAAACCAGGAGGAATACACCCATACCATACGAACAAAGTAGGTGTTAATAGGAAAGCGAGAGGATGGTTTTGCTGTGCACTCCCCATCAGCATAACTTTGTGAATTTGCCTTAACTATTTCCATTTTCCCCAAAGTCCAGCTTTAGCTGTGTCCATCAGGATCCTGGGAAAAAACTGATGGCACATTTGACCCGTCAATGGAGGAGAGTTTAGTGAAGGGAATGTTTACGAAGGGTAGGGCAGGGCTGAGGGGAGACAGCAGGGCTGGTGGTGGGACTGGCGTTCGCAGGGAGGGACGCTGGTTACTGGGATTCAGGGCTGCCGCTCAGCTTAGGAGAGGCTGCTCTGCACATGCTGGAGCCTTAGGTAGAGGAGGGTCTCTGCAGGCAGGGAAATGGGTGAACAAATATCCGGCCTTTAACGACACCTCCACCCAACCCCACTTGAAGTCAGAGAGCAGAGGAGCCCAGTGGACACAGAGACCAGCCTCTTTGGGCACAGAGTACATTCATTGCAAGATGGGAAGGCAAATGGGAAGTACCTCACTGTCCCCAGTGAAGGCAGAGGATGGTCAGCATTCACTGTTGTCCTCTGTCCAGAATAAAAGTGTATATCTCTACCTGGGACGGGCAGCTACCACGTAATTGTGCAGTGATGACAGTTCATTCACAGTCTCCTGTTAGTCACCACCAGTGCTTTTCATATAAGATGGAGGGGGAAAGACACAGCACAGAGCTCCTGTACTCATTTCTGTAGCTAACCATGAGACTCGAGTTCACTTTCACAGCATCCTTCTTTCCCATATCCATTCCACAGTCTCTGTACCCTCTGTCAGAACCTCAGTTAGGTGGGTGTCCCAAACCATTGCATTGTAGATAAGAGACTTCAGTGATTCTTCCTCTGGGATTGCTGTAGATCCCCACTGTTTAGAATAAGATTCATTACAGTGAATTAGTAAGATACATAGCCAGATCAGTAAGGAAAAAGACATGTAGAAGTCTGGAGAAATCCATGCAGAGACTTCTGATGCTCTCTCCCTCCTGTGACAGAGGGACACAGTGAGCGAGCTGCTTCTCTAGCAACGAAAAATGCAGTGACATGTGGGCAGTATTTCTGCCCAGAAAGCCCATTAAACACTCAGTGCCCAGAATTTTTATTGGGGGCTGGTCACGTAGGCATCTTCTGCCTAGCAACTGTTCAAATTCCAGACCACTTCCAGAGAAGGCAGGTGTT